TCCTCTTTCTGTAATTTAATCATTGACACTGCTACCAAAATGATCATTTCCAAACACAGATCTGATCCTGTCATTTCTCTGCTTAAAAACCTGCAATGCCCCCCTACAGTCCATGCAACAGAATCCAAATTCCTAATTGTGGCATGGAAGGTCCTGTATGTTCTGGTCTCAGTCCATTTTTCCTAGCTAACACATTCCACATGCTATCCATCCAGGGGTATTTGCAATTTCTGAAGCATGCTATACATATTTGTGCTTCTATGTCTTTACTCATGCTGTTTCTTCTACTTAAAATATGACTCCTCATCCCATACCTTGCTCTTTCTTCTGTTATCTGCACCCAACACCATACTAGTTCATTCCTAGGGACCCAACTCAAATGCTTTCTCTCTAAGACTTTGCTGTCTCCCAGGCTTAAATAATTTACCATTTGTTGTTCTCTTGTAGTGTTTTTTTTTTTTTTTTTAAGATTTTATTTATTTGTCAGAGAGAGGGAGAGAAAGCGAGCACAGGCAGGCAGGCAGAGGCAGAGGGAGAAGCAGGCTCCCCGCCGAGCAAGGAGCCCAATGTGGGACTCGATCCCAGGACGCTGGGATCATGACCTGAGCCGAAGGCAGCTGCTTAACCAACTGAGCCACCCAGGTGTCCCCCTCTTGTAGTGTTTTGCTCCTGCTCCATGTATGGTGTAATAGCTAACTGTTTATATACCTACCCATCTCTCCTAGATTGTGAACTTCTTGGTCTATACATTTCATTTTCCCATTTTCTTTGGGCTATGTATTATGTTTTCAAGAAAGCTGACACAGTATAATGTGCCTAACACATAGTAAAGTCTCAATAAATGTAATTAGGACTAAAAAAGCCACATGCATAAAAATCCACATTAAAATTTTTTTCTAAGTGTAATGGGGGCTAAACTGAAAATCCAAAAAGATGGTAGAAGAAGGAAAAACTATCTTTTAAACCATAGGGGAATTCTGTCCTGATTTAAAAAAAAAAAAAGACTTGAACATTTCTACAGAGGTAAACTGTTCTGGAAAAACTAAATGAATTGTTCAGCTACTCATATTAAAGCAAGTATACATTTATTATTCTTGGAAAACTATAACTTGAGTAAAGATGCTTTAATCTGTGAAGCAGTGTGCTCCATTTGGATATGCAAATCTTTGTGTATGGAACAGGAGCCTTGCTTCCGCAGACATTGCTGCAGAAAAGAAGAGAAAAACTGTTTTTTTTCTCTCTGTAGATGTAGACTATATGTGTCAATATATTGTTTCTGTGGAGATGTGAATGTCCTCTTTTGAGCCCTTGTTCTCAGGAGTACAAAAGCTGAGATCTAAAAGATAAAGGCAACCAAGGACAGGCATGATCATTACTACTTACTGGAGAAATAATTATGCAAAGGGACTGGACTGGTTTCGGTGAGTCTCTACCTGGACCTACCTGTAAAGACTGAATAACTAACTCAGTCTCTGTGAGCAATGTGCTGATGTTGGACTGTTAAGCTCTTAAGGCAATGGCACAGCTGGGTCAAAGGTCAAGGTCATATGCCTGGTGATGGGAGGTGGGGTCTCCTCTAAAGGAGTAGATATTCCCAGGTCAATCATCCTAGGGAGAGGCAGCAACTGAGACAGAAAATGGGACTTTGAAAATGGACCTTAAATTGGGTGAGGGGAGTTGTTTTCTTCTCTGAGCTTCTTCTCTCTGTGGTTGAGCCTGAGTGTCCAAGACATGGTCAGGGGAACTCTTGATGGAGAGGGGAGCTGTCTTCAGTCACATGGACCCTAGCTGAAAGCTCAACAACAAAGCCCATGAAGACTTTGAGAGTAGCCAGGTCATAACTGCAGGTTACTCTGGATAACCCTGGTCTTAGCTGTGCTGTAAGGAGACTTTGATGGGAAGAGACTGCACTTGTGATGTCCTGGAGAAGAGAGGGAAATGCCTCTTCCAGCCAGGTCCCAAGACAATGGTGAAAGTTGCACTGGCTGGAGAGAGATCAGTGTCCCAGAATATCAGGGTATGGGATATCTGAAGTAGAGACAGGAGTAATTCAGTTATTTCAGGCCTATGTTGGTGACTGCATCTGCCCTAGGGACTTCTCAACAGGAAAGAAGGTAGAGAAACTTTAAAGGGGGCTGCCATCCTAATAATTTGGAAGGCAAGAGCTCAATCATTGTCGTTTGGAGTTTTAAATATGGCCTCCTTTACACTAAAAAATTCATGAAAGCTATGATGCTCTGATTAACAAGGGCACATGAGGCCTTTTATTGAACAAAACCTTATTATCATGGACATCCTGCTCAAAAGACTTGAGAAAAACAAAGATAAATAAAATATTCCTCAGTTTGATTTTATATGAGTCTTTTGTTTTTAGTTTCCCTTAGGCTTCTCTCTTGATCCCTGTATAGGTGTACATTTAACCAGAAACCAATAGTTGCTTTTCTTCCATGATACATCCAACCTCTGTTTTCCTCACAAAGTGTTCTGATTTAGCGAGTAAGGGGAGAGTTTGAAGCTCTTTCTGGCCATGGACGAACATCTAATTGGTCTTTCAATGAGGTGAGCATCTAAGTTAACATGATTTTCTTTGGCTGAACAGGAATGTTAACACATTGGCATAGCCCCCACAATCTCATCCCTGTTGATTGCATCTCCAGTCATACTCTGAAAAAAGACTGCATTCAGTTCCTTAGAGCTTTTCTGGATTCATGGTATTTGCCTTTTTATTCTAACAGCTGCTTATTTGCATAACCAGTTAAAGACATTTCCCTACTGTCAAACTACTGGGTTTCCTCTAGCTTCTTGGACATTTTTTCTTGCTCTTGTAGATTCTGTAAACAAATAGCAACTTTTGCCTTCAACATAAGTTCTGCTTGCCTGAACTCTTTCATTATCTTCTCCAACCACACAACAAAGTTGAGCTTTGTAGAATATCACTTTGGCATATTAATGATTTCATGTCTCCAAGGCCTTCCTGAAATTACTAGTTTCTTCATAGATCTTTTTCTGGGACTTAAACACTATAAAATATCTAATTTACTTCATGCAACAAACACGTATTGAATACCTACTATGTTGCACACCCAGGCTACCTGCTGGGGCTACATAGTAGAGGCACTCACCTTTGGTTTGAAGTCTTGAGTTTCTGACTCACTGTTCTAGATTCTTAAGTCCTCCAGGATTACATTGAAAAGTGGAACCTCCTCTTATGACTATTGAATGCCACAAAGGAAAATACAACTAAGGAGAACAATTCAGGTTGTTGAGGTGATTACTGAAGAGGGGGAGGGTCCCATGCAAAAAATTGGAGAAAAATAGTGAAATCCAAGGACACTACGGAAGTATACTTTATTTTTATTTTTATGTTTTTAAAAGATTTTATTTATTTACTTGACAGACAGAGATCACAAGTAGGCAAAGAGGCAGGCAGAGAGAAGGGGTAGGGGGAAGCAGGCTCCCTGAGGAGCAGAGAGCCCGATGCGGGGCTCGATGACCTGAGCTGAAGGCAGAGGCTTTAACTCACTGAACCACCCAGGCGCCCCTATTCTTTATTTTTTTAAGAATGTTCTAACCCCAACATAGGGCTTGAGTTCAGGAGCTCAGGACGTCCCCCCACCTCCCCATCAAAGGTCACACATTCTACTGACTGAGACAGCAGGAACCCCCTCCCCCCGCCGGGGGTGGGGGGTGAGGACCTACTTTAAAGGTCAGATGTTTTCTAAATTGATGTAGGGTTTCATCTTTGTTATGTGTGTTATCCCTATAAACACGACCACTATAAATGAAAATAATATGAAATTATGCACATTGCATTATTTTTCAATTAATATATTTATTACAGCATTAATGTTGGGTTGATAGGATTCTTTTATATAACATTTCCTTCCATCAAAAAATTTTGAGGGAGAATATTGTTTTTTGGTGAAGTTTTCATAAAGAACATGAGGTCTTTAGATGTAGGGTCACAAAGGGCAGGAGACAATTTTTTTTCTTTGCGATATATACCTCCTGACACATTTTGGTGTTTTATTGAGGAAGTGTGGAGATACGGTAATTCTAGTTCTGAAGGTGCAAGGAAAGGACCCATCACTGCCTCTGCACCCTACCAGCTGAAGGAGCACACCTCAATCTTTTCCTTTTGTCTTCTGAAAATAAAAGGGAGGCATAGGGTGTTAGAGTGGTTGGTTTCTGAGGGGTTAAACCCAGGTGCTTAAAAACCCTTGCGAACCCTACGGCTTTTACTTAAGTAGCTCCTGTAAAACAGATGTTCTCCAAAATAAGAGCACCAGAGAAGATAGGCCCGCCAGGCCGACTCCGGGTAAAGCTCAGGTGGCGGCAGCTGCCTAGTCCCGAGCGGAAGGTGCCTGCATTCTGCAGGTGCAATGATTGTTATCTCGCACCGCCCTGGCTCCCGAGAGGGCGGGACTCGCGGCGTTGCAGAGTGTGGGACTTGACCCCTGAAGCCCAGTCTAAACGTATTCCATGCAGCAGATATTTATCCAGCTGGGTGCCCACACCTGGCCCGGGGGAGGGGAAATAGCTTCTGGAGGAACCGCAGAGAGGAGAGGAGCCCCTCATTTGGACGCCAGAGGGCTGGTCTCGCAAGGTTCTGTTCGACTGCTTTCCCGTGATTGCTTCAGCTACCTGTCCATCATCCTAGTTCCCTATTTCGATTGGCTCTTCCGTCTGTCACTCGGTTCCGCCGCGCTGACCCCCATTGGCCCTTCTCGGCCGAGGCCCCGCCCCACGAGCTGGGCATGGGGAGTGGGGCGCGGAGGAGAGAGAGCGGGGCGCTTGCTCTGGGCTGGGGGGAGGCGGTGGTGGAGAAGGAGGAGGAGAAGGAGGAGGAGCTGGGCCAGCAGGAGGCAGCGGCCGCGACCCGACTGGGGTGATGGTGCAGGTGCCGGGGGCCCGCGCGGAGCTGCCCGGCTGAGGGGCGCCTGGTCCGGGGTCCGCAGCGCTGCCGCGTCTCTCCCGGCGGCGGGCGGCCGGGCGGGAAGATGCTGAGCAGGTTGATGAGCGGCAGCAGCAGGAGCCTGGAGCGCGAGTACAGCTGCACCGTGCGGCTGCTGGACGACAGCGAGTACACCTGCACCATCCAGGTCAGTGCTGCGCCGCCTGCCCGCGGGACCCCCGCGTCCCCTGAGTCTGGCTAACTTGGCCCCCGGCCGCCGCCCGGGGTCGCCGCAGATCCCAGTGCTTTGTCCGTCCCTGGCTGCGGCGGACGGCCCCGGTGCAGAGCGCCTCCGCCCGAGACTTGGTCCGGGGCGGGGTACCGGGCGCTCGGCGCAGCTGCGGTGAGAGTCCCACCGTCCCGGACCCCAGCTCCCTCCCTGCCCTCTCCCAGGGCGAGGGCGCCCTATCCTGGCTACTCGAGCCTGCCCGGGTGGGGAGCATCTTCAGCGAGCGTCCGCAGGGAGGCGGGCAGGGCGGGAGGCTCCTACCCCCGCCGCCCCGTCGGGGGGGCGCAGGCTTCGGCTCTCTGTCCAGGCAAGGACCGCTGGCCGGCGTTTCTTATCTTTGGTTGGAAGGATAATGCTGAATGTCATAATCACCCGCCCCCCCCCCCCCCCCCCCCCCGGCATTTGTGAGTCAGAGCTCTCAGAAGGTAGAAGTGAACGCGCAGCCCATGCAGAGTGGCCTATGGAAGGGAGACTAGCCCTCTGGGTTCTCAAGATTAGGCTCTCCTCCCGCCTTTAGCTCCCCAGATCTCATTGTGTTGGGCAATTTGGGGGGGGGGGGTGTGAGGCAAAGATTTAGCAACAAGTACCAGAGATCTGAGGGTTGGCCGTGGCTAGAAAGAATGGGTGACTTAAAGAAACGCCAACAATACGTTAATGCTTCGCAGCATTGCTTCAGAACCTGGTATTTTGGAAGAGATTTTTACAACCTCTTATGTTTTTTCACTACTGCCGTGTGGCAGGTCTGGAGTAGTAGTCTTTCCCAGGAATGCAGTCACAGCCCTCTCTCCTCCTCTGTAAAGTCAGAGATAGGAGCGTTGACAATGCTCCGGTGTTCAGTTCAGCCGCCGAAGGATCCTGAGCTCGCTGCCGGAAACTGCTCTTTCAGGAGAAGCAAATTGAGTTGGACCCGGAGGGGTCTCACCTGATCCCTTGCCTTTGCAGCAAGAAACCAGAGGGGGGCTTCTCGCCTCAGATGTGGCAGACAAAAACTGTCGGCCTCTGGTCCTACCCTCTTTGTCTCCCCCCCCCCCCCCCACCCCCCCATTTATTTTTTTGCTGACAATGCTCAACAGCGGAAAATAGCGGTGTGAGAAAGACGCTGGGTAGTGGATGAGAGCAACTGCTCTCTGCTGACTCTGTGCTCATTTCAGCCTTCTCTCCACTTTCCCTTTTCTCCCACTCCCCACACCACCTCTGGGCGTAAGTGCTGACTGCTGCCAAAGATCCAGGAGGGCAGAGAAAGGGAGTAAAATCTCTTTAAGGCCACTTAAATACAGATTAAACAGTCCTAACGATGCTAGCCATCAAGTGAAAGGATTTTTGCAGTTGAATATGATAGATGTTCTGTATTATTTCCTTACTGAATGAGTGGCATGCTACTTTTTGTTTCTATTGTATCTTTATGTGTGGTGTACAGTTCTTTTTTGGTTTTGGGTGGGGGAGGAGAAGGACTTGACATATTCACCATTTGATTGAATACATTGTCTAGAGCTTTTAAAGTCTTTATCCTTTTGTTTTAAAATTTAAAGCATGTACAGGATAACCTATCAAGGGCAGCGTGAGATTTAGACTTTGTGAGTCCTAAAAATACTTTGGGGTATATGGTGAAATAAAATTTCTGGGGCAGGTCATTAACTTTTGCCAAGGTATAGAGTACAATTGAAACGCAATTCACATAATCATTCCACCAGCGATTTTGAGGTATCAAATAAGACAACTAGTTACTTTTCCCAGTTGGTGGAAACTCTGAGGTTGGTTGATTGGTATTATAGTTGTGGGTAAATCTTTATTAGTGTTGAGAAAAATAATATTTTTAAGTCAAACAGTACTTACTGGGTTTGTGCTTGTTATATCTTGCTACAGTTGTGTTTATTTTCCTACTGGTTTTACATTATTACAATTTAATGTGTTATAAAAATTTAGGCCACATAAGAAAATTAAGCTTGGTGTAACACGACTATACTGTAGTGAGTGAGTGTCCATTGTCTAGACATGTTAATGATGGTGTGTTGTGATTATTTAATGAAAATTAAAAAAGGAATTCTGAAGTTTATGTAATGTCAGTCTTTGGCACCACTACTGTGACTTGCTTCTGTTTTTACCCAATGTGAGGAAAGGTTAACAACAACAACAAGAAGACAGGATCTTATGTGAAATTAATATTTTGTGCATATAGCTTTTTTGAGCTTTTGGAGATTGAGTTTTTCTTGGCAACTTTCTCCCCCCTATACATTTCTGTGTGTGAGTGTGTTTGTGTTTGTGCATGCACTTATTTGTCAGACATTGGACATAAAGTCTTGTAAATCAGTATGGAAATGAACTGTGAGCTACTTACTAGGTTAAAGCAATATTTTTAACATTTTAGGAAGTGCTGTACAGTATACTTTAAAAAATTTTTGGTAATAATTTGGAATCATTTCCCTTAAAGTATGGTATGCCATATTTTTCTTTAAGTAAGGTATATATTTTAGAAAGATTTCAGTCCTTCTTGAGATAATCAGAGAATAGTTAGGGGATTAGCGAGTCAGAAATGTATCCCTGGTTAGAGCCATAATAGCCACATTTAGTAAATTTCAGTTGTAGGAAATTCTAAGTATTGGTCTTGCCTTTCATATTGCATCAGTTATACTGATCTGGCATTTAGAATGTGATTATTAAGGTAAGGAAAAATGCCTTATATCCTTCCAGTGAATATTGCCACATTTACCAGCCTATTCTATTCTTCCTGATATGCCAATATATTTGTAGATCATGAGAAATGAAGTATACATAGGAGGGCTGTAATATAATTGCTCCCCTGTGAAGAACATTGTTAACAGCTTCCTGCCAGTTTTGAAGGTCATTGCCTCATAAATGCAGATCTGGTCCATATTTTTCACACATCTGTTTCATTTATGAATATCTACATTTATTTACTGCATTTACTACCCTACTTGTTATTTAATTTGGGAGCAAATAGGAAAAAATAAAAAGACTACCTAATAATATCTTTGAACTCAGCATATCAAATGAAGTCATTTGAATGCTAATATCCTAAGTAATAGATTTCTAACAATCTTTTGAGTTATAATAGTTTATAAAATATTAAGAATATATATTACAGAAGAGCCAGTAGAAATATGTATCAAAAATACATATTTACAAGTCAGAAATACTTATCACTTTTTTCTGCTTACTGAAAAGTAAAGCTGCCCTAGAAATGAATTTGATTTTACTGGGAACACATTAAAATAACAACCGATCAAGCAGCTGGCTTAAATTTGTTTTTGCAGTTAAATGAGGTAATGAGGTACTACTATAAGTAAAATGCATGTGGACAGAAACAGTTTTATAGTGCAACCAAGATCGTGGCTTGATTGTGTCTCAGCCATTCAGTAACTGTGGGACCTAGGGTAAGGGAGGCAATATTGGGGGAGAGAACAAATGTATTGAGTCCCGTACTTGCCAGGCGCCCTGCATGTGCTATTTTCTCACTTACCTCACAACAGCATATGGATTCATTATACACCCATTGTACCAGCTGAAGAAAATAGGATTGTGGATTGGTGGGAGAGCCGATATTTCTTGAATGGCCATCTGTACTATGCTTTCTGCGAGGTGTTTCTGCTTATACCTTACATCAACTATTTGAGAGATAGGTGGTAGTATTTTCATTTTACAGATAAAAGGCTTGGATGAAGGAACTTGCTCAAAGCTAGTAGGTGGCTGTACTATATTTAAACCATGATCAATTTGTCTCTAAATCCCATCTTTGTTCCTTCTATTTCTTCTGACTCCCTAAGTTATTTCACCTATCTGTGCCTTAATTTCTTCATCTGTAAAATGGTAATAATAATACTTATTTCACAGTAAAGAAAAAATTATTCGGTAATGTCATTACAAATAATAACATTTAAACAGACTAATATACATTGTGCCTTGTTCTATCAAATCAAAAATAGGATTGAGAAATTTTTTTGAAAATTAAACCATAAGTCTCCTTAAAATGATTTTTTAAAATATTTTATTTATTTATTTGAGAAAGAGAGTGTGTGTCCATTCGAGTGTGGGAGAAGGGCAAAAGAGGGAGAGAACCTTAAGCAGACTCCCCAGTCAGGCCAGAGCCAGCTCAGGGCTGAGTCTTTTGACCCTGAGATCATGACCCGAGTGGAAACCAAGACACTTACTGGACTGAGCCACCTGGTGCCCCTCCTTAAAATGATTTCTGTTCTGCTCAGGTCATATCTCAGGGCCCTGGGATTAAGACCTCTTTGCGTTCCCTGCTCAGCGGGGAGTCTGCTTCTCTCTCTCCCTCTGCCCCTCCCTCCTACTCGTGCTCTCTCTCTCTCTTGCTCTCAAATAAATAAAATCATAAAAGAATAATTCCTGTTTAATGTCAGTGAAATCATAAAATCCAAGGCTGGAATAACTGGATTCTGTTGTAGAACTCTTCTCTAAAATTCAAGAGTTCAGGGGGCACTTGGGTGGCTCAGTGGGTTAAGCATCTGCCTTTGGCTCAGGCCATGATCCTAGGGTCCTGGGATCCTGCCCCACATTGGGCTCTCTGCTTAGGCAGGACCCTGCTTCTCCCTCTCCCTCTGTCCTTTCTCCACTCATTCTCTATCTCAAATAAATAAAATCTTTAAAAACAGTAAAATTCAAGAGTTCAAGTTTGCTTTCCTTCCATCCTTTGGCTTTAGAGGGGCATTTATTTCAAGGACCTACAGTGATTTGTCTTTTCTAAGAAATTCTACTTTATATTTGGTAAGCAAAATCCTTGGTTTCATTAATGCAAAAGTGATGTTAGAGAATTAAGTTAATTGTATCCACAGAAAAAGACAAAGCTGTTGTATTTTCATGAATATTGGTTCTTTTAAAAAACTTTGTTTTAAAAAGTAATTATGGGGGGCGCCTGGGTGGCTCAGTGGGTTGAGCCTCTG